ATACGAAATACGAACGGCATTTCGAAGTCATGAAAGTGAGAACGTCAACATTTTCCCGCGATTTGTGGAGTGAGAAGTGCACGAGGAGATTTCGTTCATGTTTAGTCGCTGTCGTCATATCTCAAATAGTCATGTCCGAGTCACGTGGACAAGAGGCAAATGTAAGGGACGAACCCCACTGAAAGTGTAAACAGTGAGTGGATTGACGAAGGTAAAGTATGCTATAACAAAAAAACTAATAATTCACTTGGTGTATGTTAGGAGAAGATCCTTGTCGTGTTGTTAACAATTTTGGTTTAGATGTACTAGTTTCAGTCAGTAGACACCGGATATATAATTGACTTTTGGTGGCTAAGGTGTGAAGTGCATTTGCATTGGAGAAATCAACGTAACTTCCTATGTAAAAATTATTTGAGGGTTAGATTTTTTATTGCAGTCTGTTTCCTTGTTTACGGCACAGCAGCAGATTTAGTTTTAGGTTTTTTTCATATTTTCATCCCCATTCATTCTTTAAAGTCTCGGTAATTGTTTACAAAGTGACTGCACCCCTCTGAGACTAGGTCCTATTATTCCGAGAGTAGGTCAGCCTTGGAATCGCTCTCGAGAACCTACTAACATTGCCGTTTAAGCCTAAAACCTTCCTAACCTGTGGGCTTTGTCTCAGGACCCCCACCCAGTCTCCTCATTCCCTACCTGAGCACTGTACCCATAAACTTCTACCCAGTTGCGATGGGCCATGCGGCATTTTTAGCAACTGACTTCGTTCATTTCTGACATTTGTTTGCCTGTACTGGGTACTTCGTATGTCAATGAGTGTAGTTTTTTTCCTTTCTTTGTGGTAGTTTCCTTAGAATTTTCCTAACTTAGTGTTGTCCCCCATGTAAATTTATGCCAAAGTCTTTGTTCGCCATAATTTATTACTCACCCGTGGCAGTCAGTTTCCAAAAAGTCAGCTTCATACCATAGAAACGAAATAGGTAAGAAGTTAAATGTTATTATGACATGGTGCTAAAGAAGAATATTTAATGTAGAATTAATCATTGGTGCTGTAGACATGCATTATCCACTGTAATTTCATTATGTCTGGGATATTTGTACATAGATGGCTTCCCTCTTTAGTTAGAATTGGGGGAAAGAGTTCATTTATTTTTATATTGTTATAGTTGTTATTAATGCGGATATTATTAACATAATTATTATTATTATTATTATAATTATTATTATTATTATTATTATTATTATTATTATTATTATTATTATTATTATTATTATTATTATTATTATTATTATTATTATTATTATTATTATTATTATTATTATTATTATTATTATTATTATTATTATTATTATTATTATTATTATTATTATTATTATTATTATTATTATTATTATTATTATTATTATTATTATTATTATTATTATTATTATTATTATTATTATTATTATTATTATTATTATTATTATTATTATTATTATTATTATTATTATTATTATTATTATTATTATTATTATTATTATTATTATTATTATTATTATTATTATTATTATTATTATTATTATTATTATTATTATTATTATTATTATTATTATTATTATTATTATTATTATTATTATTATTATTATTATTATTATTATTATTATTATTATTATTATTATTATTATTATTATTATTATTATTATTATTATTATTATTATTATTATTATTATTATTATTATTATTATTATTATTATTATTATTATTATTATTATTATTATTATTATTATTATTATTATTATTATTATTATTATTATTATTATTATTATTATTATTATTATTATTATTATTATTATTATTATTATTATTATTATTATTATTATTATTATTATTATTATTATTATTATTATTATTATTATTATTATTATTATTATTATTATTATTATTATTATTATTATTATTATTATTATTATTATTATTATTATTATTATTATTATTATTATTATTATTATTATTATTATTATTATTATTATTATTATTATTATTATTATTATTATTATTATTATTATTATTATTATTATTATTATTATTATTATTATTATTATTATTATTATTATTATTATTATTATTATTATTATTATTATTATTATTATTATTATTATTATTATTATTATTATTATTATTATTATTATTATTATTATTATTATTATTATTATTATTATTATTATTATTATTATTATTATTATTATTATTATTATTATTATTATTATTATTATTATTATTATTATTATTATTATTATTATTATTATTATTATTATTATTATTATTATTATTATTATTATTATTATTATTATTATTATTATTATTATTATTATTATTATTATTATTATTATTATTATTATTATTATTATTATTATTATTATTATTATTATTATTATTATTATTATTATTATTATTATTATTATTATTATTATTATTATTATTATTATTATCGCTATAAAAAAAAAATTAATAATTCACTTGGTGTATGTTAGGAGAAGATCCTTGTCGTGTTGTTAACAATTTTGGTTTAGATGTACTAGTTCCAGTCAGTAGACACCGAATATACAATTTACTTTTGGTGGCTAAGGTGTGAAGTGCATTTGCATTGGAGAAATCAACGTAACTTCCTATGTAAAAATTATTTGAGGGTTAGATTTTTTATTGCAGTCTGTTTCCTTGTTTACGGCACAGCAGCAGATTTAGTTTCAGTTTTTTTTCATATTTTCATCCCCATTCATTCTTTAAAGTCTCGGTAAATGTTTACAAAGTGACTGCACCCCTCTGAGACTAGGGCCCTATTATTCCGAGAGTAGGTCAGCCTTGGAATCACTTTCGGGAATCTACTAACATTGCCGTTTAAGCCTAAAACCTTCCTAACCTGTGGGCTTTGTCTCAGGACCCCCACCCAGTCGCCTCATTCCCTACCTGGGCACTGTACCCATGAACTTCTACCCAGTCGTGATGGGCCGTGCGGCATTTTTAGCAACTGATTTTGTTCATTTCTGACATTTGTTTGCCTGTACTGGGTACTTCGTATGTCAATGAGTGTAGTATTTTTTCCTTTCTTTGTGGTAGTTTCCTTAGAATTTTCCTAACTTAGTGTTGTCCCCATGTAAATTTATGCCAAAGTCTTTGTTCGCCATAATTTATTACTCACCCGTGGTAGTCAGTTTCCAAAAAGTCAGCCTTATACCATAGAAACGAAATAGGTAAGAAGTTAAATGTTATTATGACATGGTGCTAAAGAAGAATATTTAATGTAGAATTAACCATTGGTGCTGTAGACATGCATTATCCACTGTAATTTCATTATGTCAGGGATATTTGTACATAGATGGCTTCCCTCTTTAGTTAGAATTGGGGAAAGAGTTAATTTATTTTTATATTGTTATAGTTGTTATTAATGCGGATATTATTAACATAATAATTATTATTATTATTATAATTTTGTTAATGATAGTAAAATAGATATGAACTTTTCTTTCACAAAATTGTTAGAATAAATTATATTTTATAACAAAGCACATGTGGAGCCATCTATAAATAAACATACATGTACTCCCAGTAGCAATGGGTTAAATTAACTATGCAAGATGGATGACATGACAGTAATGTAGCTTCAAGCAATTGCTGTGGTTGCTGTGCCTTTAGCATGCCAGCAAAAGGCAAAACATCTTCAGCATATGTAAGCATATATATTCTGGAAGGTAAATCATAGACTTTTTCTTGAGGTGTAGGTCTGTTCACACTTATTTTGCTTAGAGATTTGTAGTGTTAATTTGTCATCCAATTTCATCCATTTCAATATGTGCAAAGGCTGCTCTAGTTGTTTGAGTTGGTACCACTGGTTTCTTTCTATATAATTGATGTAGAGGATTCATGTGGCCTAAAAGTACCAAATATATGTCACAAACAATTTATCACTACTATTGATAAACACCATACATTTTATCTCAGTGCCTGTGAATAGATGTATTTAGGTTTTTTTATTGCTAATTGTTTGTATATGTTAGGTAGGTAGATAGAAAGTATGAAAGAAATTAAGAAAGAAAGACAAGTAGACAGAAAGCCTGAGAAACAGGTAGATGCAGATATACACAATTGGTTGTTAACATTCATAAGGGTTACATTCCTTAGCCACTCATGAATGTTAAAAAATTTAGAAATACGTGCTGTGGATATTGCTAGAATTGATAGGCTAGGCAACAGCAGGAGTTTGTAAGAAGGTGAATGAAGAAATCATAGGTCTTTGGGATCTGATTTTTTTACCTTTTACTGGAACATCAAAGAAGGTAAAGTGAGCACACTAGTCTTGCAGGGAAAGAATATTTGAGAATATTTAAGCTGTAAACCATTTCAGTGCAGTTATTTTGGTAAATCCTGTAGGAGCTACCATGCTTTTCTTACCAATTTAAATGTTGAAGTTGGCCTAATTTTAAGTCTGTTGAAAATGAAAAGCATACCAAGTGGATAGTTACCTATTAATTGTGAAATTCTGCTGCTTGTTTCTCAAGGTTATCCCGTGGTATCCTCCTCCTCTCCATCATATCTGGTTACTTGATGGCATAGGAACCAAAGCATGAGGCAATATTTCCCACCGGTACAAATCCCTTGATGATGACTGTGTGTGTGGAGGTATTCAGGTCTCTGTGGAGTACATGCACAGGAACATAACGTGCATTTAGTATGTATTTCAATCAGGGTGTGTAGTCTATGGCTCTCGCGTAGGGAGGAACCGAGAAACAGGATAAGATAAAGATATGCAGGTGTGTCATGTGTTCTTTATTCTCAGAGGCACTTGATGGAGAGTGTTTCTGCTTAGAACCTGTGAATACATTTTAACATCGTCGGAGTTTTATGGTCTTATTAGACTTGTGTATGCTGTTGAGTTTGGTCAGGCATTCCTTTTCTTTTTTTCTTTTTTTTTGCAATATTTTTGAATAGTTGTAAGTTTGATTTGATTAAGATTTTTTTAATTGCTTTTATTTATTTATTCATTTCTATTTATTTATTTTTAATTTTTAATTTTTATTCTTTTTGATTATTTGTTTGTTTATTTATTTATTATTATTATTTTTTTTTTCAAGAGTTTTTCTTTTCATGTTACTAGTATCTGATACTGTCATTTTATTTGTGTATGATTATGTATATATGTATATTAATACATATACATGTGTGTGTGTGTGTGTGTGTGTGTGTGTGTGTGTATATATATATATATATATATATATATATATATATATATATATATATATATATATATATATATATATATATATAATGTATGTATAAATATATGTATGTATAAACATACATATGTATAAATGTATGTATGTATAAATATATATGTGTGTGTATGTGTATACACATACACATTTTCCTGTTTGTTTTTAATTATTAATGTCTTGATTGTAGCAAAGTATATACTGTTAAGTATAACAAATAGTATGTAGGAGATTGTGTATATTATTACTGACAAGTAGTACATTTGCAAATTGATGTAGTCCAAATTTTGCAATTATCTATATAAACCTATCATACTTTTCACATTATCACTTAGGTGTTTTTGAATTATCTTAGATGCCGAGCATTTATTTGTTTGTGTCTGAAATCTGTTTGTATCTCCATAGAAATGCTACGAGCAGAAGCAGTACAAAAATGGATTGAAGTTCGCCAAGCAAATCCTGGCCAACTATGCAGACCATGGAGGTATGTACCGGGCGTTTCATTTCGGCAAGGACTGCGTTGTTCTGGTCCTTCTTTTCGTTGTTTATGTTATTTGTGCTTATTGTTATGACTATTATTATGTGGGGTTCATTATCTCTGCTTGAAGGAAAATAGGAAGGCTGTCCTTGATGGTGAATCAAAGAGACTTTTAATGTCAAAATAATATTGTCTAGAATTAGGCATTAGGGTCTTTGCCACCTGCCACTCTTCACAATGCGTGGTCTGTTGTCATGCCTGGCTCAACACAGGTCGTGCCGAGTACTACTCTGAGGTTGAATTGAGTAGTGTTCTTAATAATGATAAGTTGCATACTAGTATTTTCGAGTCATTTCCAGTTGGAACTAAATTAGTGATTCATTTTGACAACTGCTTAATTTTTGATTGAATAAATTGTATATATTGTATTTTTTTTATGAAACTATCTTCCATATCCATGGGTCTTAGTAGGGTAGATGAAATTGAAGATAGCTCAAAATTCTTACAAATACACTCACTCTCTCTCTCTCTCTCTCTCTCTCTCTCTCTCTCTCTCTCTCTCTCTCTCTCTCTCTCTCTCTCTCTCTCTCTCTCTCTCTCACTCTCTCACTCTCTCACTCTCTCACTCTCTCTCTCTCTCTCTCTCTCTCTCTCTCTCTCTCTCTCTCTCTCTCTCTCTCTCTCTCTCTCTCTCTCTCTCTCTCTCTCTCTCTCTCACTCTCTCTCTCTCTCTCTCTCTCTCTCTCTCTCTCTCTCTCTCTCTCTCTCTCTCTCTCTCTCTCTTTCTCTTTCTCTCTCTCTCTTACCCTCACTCTCACTCATTCACACACACACACACACACACACACATACATACATTTATGTAGGGTACATACACATGCATGTGTATATGTCTGTAATTTAGGCAGTTTATTCAGATTATTCATGTATCACCTCCCCTTTTGTGCCAGGAAAAGTTGTGGTGTGAATCACCAGAGAGGCACAAACTTCAGAATGCTAGATTAGTACTCAGGCACTTTAACTTTATTGTGTTGTTAAGCACTTTACATTTATATGGATATTTATGCATGAATACATTTGTATCTGTATTCAGATGTTATTTTACATTCTCCCAAGGGTATAGATTTTTCTTCAGTTTCTATTGTCTTTAGTGCCCTTTTCTCTAAACTTCAAGATCATTCTTGATTTATTTGTAAAGCTGTAGTATAGTGGCATTATGTATGTTCAGAAGAATATAGTAACCTTTATAATATATTCTTTTAACCCCATGCTGCCTGGAAAATATAGTATATTTTAATATTATTATTATTATAATTATTATTATTATTATTTAATTGACATAACTAACAGCAATATAAGAAAAAAAAAAATCAAGAAATACGGTAAACCAGTGAAATAGGTAATACTAAGAATTGGTTCATTAACCCATTTCTGCCGGGCATGCCATGCCATGCCCACTGTGAGATTACTTGTTGGATTGTTTTTACACATAGATGGCTACACTTGTACTAAATCACCAATGAGCCAGTTACAAGTACCGCCTGTCTCGCCCGTTCACCCTTTTCTTTGATTTACAAAATATTTTACGTTATCTTATTTTGCTGTTACTAATGTTTAAAAACATTATAAAAATTATAATGTTTATAATAAGAATAACACCATCAATATTCATGGCACTAGTGACAAATACGTTTTTCCCGCCATTTCAAATCAGGCACTAACAGAGCCATCTATGGGCAGACATTTAACAAAAAAGTATAGAAAATAGGCACAGCATTTTCCCCATTTTTTGTTCATTTTCCCTGGCGGCAATGGGTTAATGATTAAACAATTGCAGAGCCATTTGTGTGTAAAGACAGTTAATAAACTAAACTCAGGGTGGGCATGGCATGTATGTGCCTGCCATCTCCGGCAGCACTGGGTTAATTAAAGTTTTATTATCAGGAGAAAGATGCATTTAGTTGATCATTTTAGATATTTTAGGAGTTTGAGAAAGGATAGGGAACAAGTAATACTACCAGATGTTTGTATTGCTTTGTGTGATCGGTGACAGGGATCTGAGAGAGGCTGGGATTTATCCTGTTGACACTGGAAATGGGCAATCTAATATAATTCTGTTGTTGTTGTCGTTGATGTTTTAATTTTTTTATTTATTTATTTATTATTATTTTTTTTTTACATACATGCATACATACATACATACATACATACATACATACATACACACACACATACACACATACACACATACACAGATATTTACACACATACATAGATGTCCTTCGCTACCAAGGAGTTAGTTGGCTTACCTGACCTCAACTTTTTTTTCAACTTTGAGTTTTCAAAAAGGATCAATTTAATCCTTATTACTGTTATTTTTAATAACATTCTACAATATTAACCCCAATGGCTTGAGGGTGGATGATGGGAACATTCCATCATGGGAAAGTCTGTCTGTAGCCTAGGGTGATACAAACTTGCTGTTGTGAGTATTTTGGCTGAAGGCCAAAGGGTGACCAGAAAGACTTGCTATGGGGCACAGAAAACTCTCGGAGGGTGATGAGACTCATTTGGCAATGAGCAAGAGGCTTTTCCATGATTTCCCTCAATAAACAAGTGTAGAATGTAGTGTCCATGAGCCATGACTGGAAGTGCACTGGCTCCAGGTGATTGGTTCATATGATTGCTGTGAAGCAACGACGTCTAATTGGTTATTTGCAGTGATAGTATTAGACGTTCAACCTTTTTTCATGAAAATTCAAGTAATGGGAAGGCAGGTGAGATCAAGTAGGCCTAGAAAAAGATTCCTAGGGGAGTAAAGCACAAGTAATACATCAACTACTATCATTATTATTCTTATTGGTATTTTATTATTGTTATTGCTGCTGTTATCAACACCATTGTCATGGTCGTACATAATACAGTTAAGTTAAGTTATGAAAATATGATTTACTCCTTGCTGACTAGGTACTTATGGAGTTGTGTGATTTTCTGTTTTGATTAGAAGTGGGTATCAAAGTGTTGGTTAAAAGTCCTCTTAGATAGCAAAATGGCTCGTGCTTTGAGTAAAGGATCCCTCAACAAGTTAGGAATTTGAAACACATAATTATAGCTTATTAAAAAAGTGTAATTTTGGCCTGTTAAACCATTAATTGTCAGATGTACAATGTGACATACAAAAGTTTTCTCCTTATTTTATTGGTGTATTGTATATAGGATTGCATATCAATCTTTTATTTATTTATTTTATTTTATTTATTTATTTATCTTTTTTAATATACACAGGGTTTTTAAATTGAATAATTATTATTGACTACTATTGGTATGTCCTCTGCTAGTGGTAGACAGTGTGTGTACCAGTATGCTAAGAACAACAATGAAAGATTTTGTCACAAGGACAAAGGGAATACTGATCAATTTTGGCATAGTATCATGACCGGAAGAGAGCGCAGAAGAGCCATGTGCAACTACGACTTCCCAAAGCTTGGAATCAGGGAAGTAATCATACTTGTAATCCATCATTTGCAGAGACACTTGCCATGAAGGGCTTGATCCTGAATTGCCTGGGAAGGAAGGAGGACGCATACAACTTTGTCCGACAGGGTCTGCGCAACAACCTGAAAAGCCATGTGTGTTGGCACGTGTTCGGACTGCTCCAGCGCTCAGACAAGAAGTACGATGAGGCTATAAAGTGCTACCGCAATGCCCTCAAGTGGGACAAGGACAACCTTCAGATCCTGAGGGACTTGTCACTACTTCAGATTCAGATGAGAGATCTTGAGGGCTATAAGGTAGGTCTTACCTCTTATCAGAATGATTTCAGAAAACCATTTTTGCTCTATTGAAAATCCTATTTATGTCATATGTCATGAGATTTATTGAAATTCATTGAGTGAGAAATACCCTCTCTTACTATACTTAATTATTTTGATATTGTTGATAATTTTTTCTTACCTCTTCCCCACAGGAAACTCGATATAAATTGTTTGAGTTACGTCCTACACAGCGCGCCTCCTGGATCGGCTATGCCATGTCATTCCACTTACTTAAAGACTTTGACACAGCACTGAAGATTCTAGAGGAATTTAGGAAAACAATCCATGTAAGAATATCCGCGATACTATTTTAGTCAAAGTGTGAAGTCTTAAATTGGAATAAAAAGGGAAGGAAATGAACAGATCTGGGTTCGTCATTTTCAAGTGTATAGTTGTCTAGATTTGATAGAATAACCTACACACTTCTTCTCAAGATGAGATACGCAGTGTTGGTAATTTATCTGTGAATTTACCTTGCAGAAAACAACCTATGATTATGAATACAGTGAACTCCTGTTGTACCAAAACCTTGTGATGAGAGAGAGCAAAAAACTCACTGAAGCTCTCAAACATCTCAACACATATGAGTCCAACATCTGTGATAAGGTTACACTACAAGAAATCAGAGGTATGTAGGCTTTGTATTGGTTTTCAGTATTGTCTGCTTAAAAAGATATATATATTTTTGGCTAACTTCATATTTATATTTGTGTTGATTTGGCTTGCAAGAATTAGTTTTTCTTTTTCTTTTTCCTGTTGATAAGTTATTTGGAAAAAGGAATATGAACTTGAGATCTTGAAATGTTGGGGTTCACTAAGGGAGTTGTGGGATTATTCATAGAAACTTTGACAGATAGGAAATCTCGGTCTCACTTTTTGTACTGTTAATTAAAATATTTAGTATTACTGCCTGCCATTGTTATCACACACCCCATCCATTGTCCACTTACTTTTAGAATTCCACTAACAATATAAATGTTTTCCTCTTTATTTTGCAGGAGATATAATGTTAGAGTTAGGAATGAAGGCAGATGCATCAGAGGTGTACAGAGGCTTGGTGAAACGCAACCCTGAAAACAGGAATTACTACCTCAAGCTAGAGGAGACCTTGGGACTAACAACAGTCGAGCAGAAGCTCGAACTTTACAAACAACTCAAAGAAAAGTGAGTCTCCTTTGGGAAGCCATTCAACCTTTTTACACTACTGGCCAGCTTTTGTTATAGTGTCCAAGTCTGAGATTTGTTTAGTTTGAGATTTTGTATTAGTGTTTCCTTGGGGGACATAGCAATCCAATATTAGATTACTATACATTTTGTGATGGATTCTAAAAGCTAAAAGTCATGGAAAAATCTTATGTATTGATAATTTGTTTTCATCTGTTTATCTGTCCTTTGATAGAGTTACTTGAATGATTGCCATGCAAGACATGAGATATGGTATTTATGATACTTACATTTCCCTTCGTTCCTCCTCCAGGTATCCCCGTGCTCAAGTGCCTAAGCGACTCCCCCTCAATTATGCTCGAGGAGAAGTCCTTGAATCCTTGTTAGACCCTTACCTAAGAGCAGCACTACAGAAAGGTGTGCCGCCCCTCTTCACAGACCTCCGCTCTCTCTACGACGACCCTGAAAGAGTCGGCATCATTGAGAAACTCATGAACCGTTACCTGGCGAATCTTGAAGAGACGGGTCACTTGTGCGAGGAAGGTGAGTGGTCAAGGTTTGGCATGAGGTCCAGTCTGCGATGGTAGGAATATCAAGCGTTGTTGACTCGTGTGTCCGTTTGGGTGGAATTGTGAATGATATTTTCTGTTATTTTCAGTTTAAGATTTGACTATTTCAGTTGGTGAACTGTGTAGGGTTAAATTGCTGGATATCAAAATAAATGCTGTTGTTGGTATTGGTTGTGAAAACTAATTGTAAAAAGTAAGAGAGAGAGAGAGAGAGTGAGTGAGTGAGTGTTGGGAGCTTTCTTCACGCATTGATGACTCTAAAAGTGCTTAGTCACTAAGTCGTCAAATACTACATCTACCTAGCTTTGCCCATTTGTCCTTTCCCTTGGAATTTTGGAAAGAAAAGATTTTATTTGGATTTGTGATATTGATAGTGTTATAATAATATCATTGTCATTGATAATACCATTAATAATATTCCTTTTGATATTAGAGGTAAAATATCCAGAATGTTCAAGGAAATCGGGTAAATACGTGAGGTCAGGTAGGCCTAGTAATCAACTTCTTAGTGACAGTTTGTGAAGCCATCTATATGTAAAGCAAATTAACATCAAAACATCTGTGGATAGTGCATATTTTTGGTGCCAGTATGCTAACCCATATATGATGGGCATGACATGTATGTACATGCCATGCCCAGTGTGAGTTTACTTTATTTATTGTTTTTTTAACATAGATGGCTACACTTGTACCAAGTCACCATTGAGCCAATTATGGGTTTTGAATGTCTCACCTGTTTAACCTGTTCTTTGATTTTCAAAAGTATTTTACGTTATCTTGTATTTCTGTTAATAATGTCAATAACATTATAGTAATTAAAATGTCTATAATGAAAATAACACCATTGATATTCATAGCATTACCAAAAAAAAAAGTTTTTCCCACCAATTCAAGGAAAGGTGAGTTCAGGTAAAGTCAAAAGGTCTACTAATTGACTCCTTTGTGGCTAAGCACTAGCAGAGCCATCTATGTGCAGAGACATTTCACAAAAAAAAAAGGGAAAATGAGCACTGCATTTTCCCGGTTGCATTGAGTTAAAAGTTGTGTAAATGACTTTGTAGGTGCCTTATGATAAATAGTAGAAGAAAGAAGGATGCAAATTGTCACATTTAGTACATTTTACTAAAATTGTGTAGTAAGATTTTGTCCAGGATGGCTATGGAAAGATTAGCAGGGGCTAGGTGATGTGGGCACTGTAGTCAGTCATTTTAATTTGGCACAGAACCATTCCCCTTTTCCCTATCCAAGAAGGTATTTGTTTCATATACCTTGTTCATGCATTCACAAGTGTTTATTCAAATATCATGTCTGTTCTTCTGTTGATGATAATCAACTTTTAAACAGTTGCATAATGTTTTAAAAATATTGAACACGGATCATGTTCCAATATGAAGTTATGCTATTGAATTCACAAGCTGAGATGTATATTTAACTTATACAAACCATGAGTTATGGCCTGCTGTGCTCTTGTTTTGTCTCTGTTGGCTTTGTTTTGTCTATATTTACAACAGAATGGTAACTTAAAAACAAATCATAATGACTGAGCTTCACCTGAATATTCAATATGGTCATGGAGTGTCATCCCTGTTTATATGTTCCCAGTTTTTAACTTTATTATGAGGATAGAAGCAACTTTAAGCATCATACCTCAACCAGTATCTTAGGTATAGGAGAGGGTTGTGTCTACTGTGTTTATATAAAATATAGGATATATAGGTGAAGTACTTCTCAAAAAAAGTTCGGGGTGACACACACAGTCCCTTTTCATGAAGGGTAATGCACATGTCATAGTATACTGCTGGGAAAGTGCTTAACCCAGGACCGACGGGCATGGTGTGCCATGCCCACTTTGGTTTACTTTATTGATTGTTTTTACACATAGATGGCTTCACTCATATTAAGTCACCAATGAGTCAATTATGAGTACTACTTGTCTTACCTGTTTACCCTTTTTTCTTGATTTTTAAATATATGTTATCTTATATTGTCAATATTATTATAGTGATTATAATGTATATTATAAAAATAATTCCATTGATATTGATAGCATTAGTTAAAAAAAAAAAAAAAAAGATTTTCCTACAAATTCAAGGAAAGGTGAAATCAGGCAAGGTCACAAGGTCTCCTAATTGACTCCTTTGTGGCTAAGCACTAGCAGAGCCATCTGTGTGCAGAGTCGTTTCACACAAAAAATCTAAAATGAGCACAGCATTTCTTCTTCTTCTTCTTCTTCTTCTTCTTCTTCTTCTTCTTCTTGCAGAATGATATACTAGGCTCTTTAGTTGATTCCCCCATAAAATGAAAAATTGCCTGGCAGTGACAGTTGGCGTAGGTGTAGTTATTTCAACTGCTACTGGATCTTTCAGAGTTGTGAGTTTTGAGATGCCGCTGTGAATGGCTGGGTGCTGCAAGGGAGGGGTTGTAGCTGGAGTTGTGGCTTTGATTGGCAACTCAGACAATGGAGGTCCTTTTTTGATCTGCCCTTTTTAGTGTCGAGTGTCCGGAATTCACAGATCCCATGCCAGAAAAAAAGGATTACTAGTGGATCATGGATTAGTAGTCTAGTTGTCTGTGCGAAATAGAAGGGAAAAAAAGTACTTTGTGAGTTAGGACATTCCCAGTTAATTGAGAACCTAGTATTCAGGTCATGGGGTTTGCATATTTGTCAGACTTTAATTAACATGTTGGTTTTATTGTGCTAGATGCTTAAAGAACAAGTAGGAGAAAAATTTAGTTGTTGTGTAGAAGGTAATTATTATTTGTTAATGTTCTGAAAATGCATTTTTAGGTAGACAGCAAGCATCAGAAGCCTCAATTCTTGCTGCTTTGTCAGATTGGGAGAAATGGAAGATGCTTCATTATTATCACATGAGGTTCTAGCTTTGTTTTCTTTATTTGCATGGATTTAATCAATTTACCTTTGAATAGGAGGAGGAGGATTATTCTTGATACATTTCTTAGGACAACAAAACTTCACTTATTCTTCCATCTACTGAAGGTACTCAGAGATTCATGCTTCTTCCTCTTTTATCATTAAGTACTGGCCGTTCACCAATGACATCCTGGAAGAGCATCACAGGTGCTTGAAAGAGAGGCAAAAGCAGACTGTGTAATCATTCTTGCAATATCTCCTTCCAGATAACGAGTACAAGGAACCAGCCTCCATCCTGTATGTGTTGATGTTCCTGGCTCAGCACCACAGTTACTTGGGTGATCCCGACAAGGCTCTCACACTCATAGAGCGTGCGCTTGAACACACGCCTACCCTCATAGAACTTTATATAGTCAAGGGTAAAATATTAAAGGTAAGACTTTTTCTTTTAGCTTTTTCCATTTTTAAAATTAAGGGTATCTGTAAGAGATACAGGGAGTTGACACTGTTCCCATATCCATCAATAACACTGTCCCCTTTTCTCATTCTATCCTTCAATAACACTGTCCCTCTATTCTTGTTCTATCCTTCAGTGACACTGTCCCCCTACCCTTTTGTTCTCATCATGTCCCTGTTTTAAGGGGAATATTTAATGGGTGATCATGAAATACCCTGTATGAGTAAACAGTATCTTCTTGTGGTGGCAGTATTGTTCAGTGGTAGAGCATTTGCCTTGCAAATCTAGCTAGACCCCTCCCAGTAAACTCATCTGTGAGTGGATTCTGGCATCAGCTAGGGGTCAAAGTCAGGGCACTAAGGTACTAGCCACACTATTGAATCATTCTGCAGCTTATTTCTCATGTTGCTGTTAGGACATCCTGAACATACTTGGACTATAGAGAAACCTACAAGTTTCAAAGCCTATATTGACTCCAAATGGTATCGGTAGCTTGATTATGAGTCTGTCAAAGCAAAATGATCAGCTATATTGTGTAGGTTATCACAAAGTGTCACATGTTCCTATGAAGAATTTTTTTGTTTTAGATGTGAACAAACCAAAAATGGTCTCAGACACACTCCAGCATTTCTTCCCAAACATCTAATTTTCATATGAACAGCTGTTAATACTTGGTCAGAACCAGTGGTCTTTTGGTTCATATAACATGTGGTACAGACAACCAGAGGCACATCAGGAAGTACTTGGAGAAAATTATGGCCACTCTTGCATGCTTTTATCTTTCCCTTCATGTCCCTTTTAGGGACATGCTTATTAAATATGAAAATCTCTTCTGATGATGTATCATTGTACAAGAAGTGGGAGCTCTAGCTTAAGTTTTACTGTAAGGGTAAGAGTAGATATAAACCAGAAACATCAAACAGATTTCATTAATTGTGTCAGATCAAGGTACTAGAAGGCACAATTTCATTCTATTACTGTCTTGACATGGCATTGCTAATGGCTTTTCTTCTCAGGATGCGGGTGACTATGTGGGAGCCTACGAAGCCTTGCAAGAAGCCCAGGCCCTCGACACCGCTGACCGCTACGTCAACTCCAAGGCAGCATCGTACCTCCTCAAGGCTAACTTAGTCAAACAGGCCGAGGAAATGTGCTCCAAATTTACCAGAGTGAGTGTCCTTTCAAACTGCAAAAATGCACTTAATTTGATGATAATGTTGATTTAAGTTTATTTACTGGCTGCATCTTTTTATTTTCTGTACCCTTTCTTTTTGTGATTTCAGTGTTAAATGTTGTTACTGTCTTCATTACAGGAGGGTGTTTCAGCCATGGAGAACTTGAACGAAATGCAGTGCATGTGGTTCCAGACAGAGTGCGCGCAGGCCTATTTCCGCCTTAGCCAGTATGGGGATGCTCTTCGTAAATGTCATGAAGTAGACCGGGTAGGTGTCTCTCGTTTACCTCTGAACTGCATCTGTGTAATCATGAAAAGAGTTATTAATCAGGTTTGGTTGTGGTTTAGTTGAATGTAAGTTTGGTGAGAGGGGTATATGATTTCTTTTGAGGAGCTAAGGCATCACGTTTGATATGGCCCCCCACAGCACTTCACCGAGATTATAGAGGACCAGTTCGACTTCCACACTTACTGCATGAGAAAGATGACTCTCCGTTCCTACGTTGAGCTGCTAAGACTTGAGGACATACTCAGGAGCAACAGATTCTATTGGGACGCAGCACAGACAGCCATTGCCATATATCTGAGGTGAGTGAGTGACAGGCAGGCATTAAGCCATTCTAAATCTTGAGAATATTCTGCTCTCTACATTTGGTATATCTCCATCCTGCTTCATCTGTAGTTTTTTAAGCTGTGTGATCCCCAGGCAACTAGGAGAATCAAACATTTTTCCTGTTTATATTTATGGATGTTTGTAATTTTCTGTTAAAAGAAAGCGAACACAATTTACAAAGCTTTACAAGTTATCATTCATAGTCATGTGGCCATCTTTGATTATTATTATCAGCCAGTCACAGTTATTATCATATTAGTACATGGAAGGAAAATCCACACTGTAAAACTAGATATATTGAAAGTGAGACAACAGTTTCGGAATCCAGATGGATTCCAAAACTGTTGTCTTAGTTTCAATAAACCTAGTTTTACAGTGTGGATTTTTCTTCCATTGTATCAACACAGTAGAGTGTTTTCTCCATTCATACCAGTACATATATTGGAATGGGATGAAAGGTAGAATGCAATCTTCTTATGAAAGACTAAAGTTTCCATGCACTGTGAAGGCATTAGTGATGTTATTGGGATGAGATCAGTAGTATTATGATATCTCCTGACTTACTACTTTTTTCTTTTATTTTTTCTTTCTTTCTTTCTTCTTTTCTTATTCTTCTTCTTCTTCTTCTTCTTCTTCTTCTTCTTCTTCTTCTTCTTCTTCTTCTTCTTCTTCTTCTTCTTCTTCTTCTTCTTCTTCTTCTTCTTCTTCTTCTTCTTCTTCTTCTTCTTCTTCTTCTTCTTCTTCTTCTTCTTCTTCTTCTTCTTCTTCTTCTTCTTCTTCTTCTTCTTCTTCTTCTTCTTCTTCTTCTTCTTCTTCTTCTTCTTCTTCTTCTTCTTCTTCTTCTTCTTCTTCTTCTTCTTCTTCTTCTTCTTCTTCTTCTTCTTCTTCTTCTTCTTCTTCTTCTTCTTCTTCTTCTTCTTCTTCTTCTTCTTCTTCTTCTTCTTCTTCTTCTTCTTCTTCTTCTTCTTCTTCTTCTTCTTCTTCTTCTTCTTCTTCTTCTTCTTCTTCTTCTTCTTCTTCTTCTTCTTCTTCTTCTTCTTCTTCTTCTTCTTCTTCTTCTTCTTCTTCTTCTTCTTCTTCTTCTTCTTCTTCTTCTTCTTCTTCTTCTTCTTCTTCTTCTTCTTCTTCTTCTTCTTCTTCTTCTTCTTCTTCTTCTTCTTCTTCTTCTTCTTCTTCTTCTTCTTCTTCTTCTTCTTCTTCTTCTTCTTCTTTTTGTGATTTCAGTGTTAAATGTTGTTACTGTCTTCATTACAGGAGGGTGTTTCAGCCATGGAGAACTTGAACGAAATGCAGTGCATGTGGTTCCAGACAGAGTGCGCGCAGGCCTATTTCCGCCTTAGCCAGTATGGGGATGCTCTTCGTAAATGTCATGAAGTAGACCGGGTAGGTGTCTCTCGTTTACCTCTGAACTGCATCTGTGTAATCATGAAAAGAGTTATTAATCAGGTTTGGTTGTGGTTTAGTTGAATGTAAGTTTGGTGAGTGGGGCATATGATTTCTTTTGAGGAGCTAAGGCATCACGTTTGATATGCCCCCCCACAGCACTTCACCGAGATTATAGAGGACCAGTTCGACTTCCACACTTACTGCATGAGAAAGATGACTCTCCGTTCCTACGTTGAGCTGCTAAGACTTGAGGACATACTCAGGAGCAACAGATTCTATTGGGACGCAGCACAGACAGCCATTGCCATATATCTGAGGTGAGTGAGTGACAGGCAGGCATTAAGCCATTCTAAATCTTGAGAATATTCTGCTCTCTACATTTGGTATATCTCCATCCTGCTTCATCTGTAGTTTTTTAAGCTGTGTGATCCCCAGGCAACTAGGAGAATCAAACATTTTTCCTGTTTATATTTATGGATGTTTGACATTTTCTGTTAAAAGAAAGCGAACACAATTTACAAAGCTTTACAAGTTATCATTCATAGTCATGTGGCCATCTTTGATTATTATTATCAGCCAGTCACAGTTATTATCATATCAGTACGTGGAAGGAAAACCCACACTGTAAAACTAGATATATTGAAAGTGAGACAACAGTTTCGGAATCCAGGTGGATTCCAAAACTGTTGTCTTAGTTTCAATAAACCTAGTTTTACAGTGTGGATTTTTCTTCCATTGTATCAACACATTTGAGTGTTTTCTCCATTCATACCAGTACATATATTGGAATGGGATGAAAGGTAGAATGCAATCCTCTTATGAAAGACTAAAGTTTCCATGCACTGTGAAGGCGTTAGTGATGTTATTGGGATGAGATCAGGAGTTTATATATCTCCTTGACTTACTACTTTTTTCTTTTATTTTTAATCCAAAGAAAATAAAAGACGGATGAGGGATTTTGTTCTGGATTAGCATTCTTTAATTCTTGTCTTTTATGCGAATTATTTGGTTATAAATGCCTCCTCCCCTCTCCCCCCAGGTTACACGACCATCCGCTCTCGGCCAACACAGGCGACAAGGATCTCAATACTGGTGAGTGTTGATTCCCCTCTTCGTTAATTCACATTGCTGCTGCCGGGGTATCAAGGAGATTGGTCGAACACGTTTATACTCTAATCATTTGTGTCAAATTGAAAGAGAGTGAGTGTGAGTGGGTGCGTGAATGAATGAATGAATGAATGAAAAGGAACATTAATGAATGAAAGTGCAAACAGAGTGGAGTTTGTAGGAGGGAGGGTGGGAGGAGGGGTTTGTGCCTAGAAGGGTATGAGTGAGAATGAAAGGGAAAGTTTAGAAGAGCGGCAGTTAGACCAGCTGTATGTGTTGTACGGTTTAGAGGTGGTGCCGCAGATGGAAGAAAGAAAGAAAGAAAGAAAAGACAAGACAAGGCAGGAAGCCTAGCCGGAGGTGCCAGGAAGATGCAACGAATTTTGAAGAATAGAAGTGGCGAGGCTGGGCAGGATTAGGAAAGGATGTTCGAGGCATAGCACAGCTAGGACGGTCCTTGAATTAAGCGAGAGAGGCGTGATTGAGAGGACTCGGTCGTAGGTGTGCTCTGGGATTTCTAGGTCTAAATGAGTACTTATTTGGACATTGCTGGGAGGAGGTTGCGGGGGACAGAGCCGCCAAGAGAAGGCTTATGGATACGATGAAGGAAGATATGCAGATTGTTAGCACAACAGGGGGGGGTGGGGGTTCAAAGGACGTTGAGAGGGAGACAGATGACCTGCCGTGGCGACCCCCTAATGGGAACTGCAACACAAACAATTGATCTTCGTCTTGTAGTGCAATGGGTATATGCTTTGGCAAATAAGTCAGCGGTTGTATATTGTAGAGTAGTGTATTCAGATTGCGGGACGAGGAAAAAGAGGCTTTGTTTACTCGATGGTTGTAGCCTGGGATTGCGTAATGTATCGCATCTTTAAATAGTTATACTAGCCTTTTCTCCCTCCCTCCCCCACCCCCCCTCACCCGCTCCTCCCTCCTTCCCCTATCTCCCTCACTCCTTCCCCTCCTCCCTTCCTCCCTCCCTCACTCCTTCCCCTAATCCCTTCCTCCCCTCCTCCCTCTCTCCCTCCCTCCTCCCTCCTCTCTCCCTCCCTCCTCCCTCCTCCCTCCCTCACTCCTTCCCCTAATCCCTTCCTCCCCTCCCTCCTCCCTCTCTCCCTCCCTCCTCCCTCTCTCTCTCCCTCCTCCCTCTCTCCCTCCCTCCTTCCCTCTTCCCTCCCTCCCTCCTTCCCCTCTTCCCTCCCTCCCTCCCTCCTTCCCCTCCGCCCTCCTTCCCCTCCTCCCTCCCTCCCCCCCTCTTCCCCTCCTCCCTCCCCCCTCCCTCCTTTCCCTCCTCCCTCCCTCCTTCCCCCCTCCCTCCCTCACCCCCCTACCTTCCCCATTCACCGTAAACTTTCGCGGCTGGAACCAAGCACTCCACTAACAGGCACAGCTGAGCCGTGACCGTTTTGGCAGCGAGTGGCCTTGGCCGTGGGAGCGGAGGCCCACGTGATGCGGCGGAGAACCGTCTCAAGGTCACCCTTCGCCCGAGGCCTCGCTCTCTCCCGCCCTCTTTAGGTCCCCCCCCTCCCCCGCCCTCCTTAGATTCCCTCCCGCCTCTCCCCCGCCCCCCTCTCTTTCTCTCTCTCTCTCTCTCTCTCTCTCTCTCTCTCTCTCTCTCTCTCTCTCTCCTCTCTCTCTCTCTCTCTCTCTCTCTCTCCCTCCCTCTCCCTCCCTCCCTCCCTCCCTCCCTCTCTCCTCCCTCCCTCTCTCCCTCTCCTCTCCCTCTCCCTCTCCCTCTCCCCCTTACCCTTCCGTTCCCTTCCCCCGTCTCCCTCTCTCCCTGCCACCTTCCTTCTCCCGCCCTTTCGCTTCTCTTCTCACTTCTCTCCCCCTTCTCTCCCTCACTTCTCTTTCTCCCCCTCACTTCCCTTGCCCCTCCTCCTCCCCCTCCTTCCCCTCCTCCCTCCTCCCCCTCCTTCCCCTCCCTCCCTCCTTCCCCTCCCTCCCTCCCTCCTCCTCCCTCCTCCCTCCTCCCTCCTCCTTCCCCTCCTCCCTCCTCTCTCCCTCCCTCCTTCCCCTCCTCCCTCCCCCCTCCTCCCTCCCCCCTCCTTCCCCTCCTCCCTCCTCCCCTCCTTCCCCCCTCCCTCCTCCCTCCCTCCTCTCTCCCTCCCTCCTCCCTCCTCTCTCCCTCTCCCTCTCCCTCTCCCTCTCCCTCCCTCCTTCCCCTCCTCCCTCCCTCCCTCCTCCCTCCTCTCTCCCTCCCTCCTCCCTCCTCTCTCCCTCCCTCCCCCCTCCTCCCTCCTCTCTCCTCCCTCCCCCTCCTCCCGTCCCTCCCCCCTCCTCCCTCCCTCCTTCCCCCTCCTCCCTCACCCCCCTCTCTCCCTCCCTCCCCCTCGCCCTCCCCCCCCCCCCCCCCCCCCTCCGTCCCCCATCCCCCTACCTTCCCCATTCACCGTAAACTTTCGCGGCTGGAACCAAGCACTCCACTAACAGGCACAGCTGAGCCGTGACCGTTTTGGCAGCGAGTGGCCTTGGCCGTGGAGCGGAGGCCCACGTGATGCGGCGGAGAACCGTCTCAAGGTCAACCCTTCGCCCGAGGCCTCGCTCTCTCCCGCCCTCTTTAGGTCCCCCCCCCCCTCCCCCGCCCTCCTAATTCCCTCCCGCCGCCCCCCCCCCTTTCTTCTTTCTCTCTTTCTCTCTCTCTCCTCTTTCTCTTCTCCTCTTTCCCTCTTCTCTCTCCCTCCCTCCCCTCTCCCTCTCCCCTCTCCCTCTCCCCTTACCCCTTCCGTTCCCTTCCCCCGTCTCCCTCCTCTCCCTGCCACCTTCCTTCTCCCGGCCTTTCGCTTCTCTTCTCACTTCTCTCCCCCCTCATCCCTCACTTCTCTTTCTCCCCCATCACTTCCCTTGCTCCTCCTCCTCCCCCTCACTTCCCCCCTCTCTCCTTCACTTCCCTTCTCTCCCTCCCCCCTCTCCCCTCCCCCTCTCCCTCCCCTCTCCTCCTCCCCTCTCCCGCCCCTCTCCCCCGCCCCTGTTCCTTCCCCCTCCTCCTGTCGAATAATACCAAGCCAGCGTGATGGAGCCACATTCCGAAATGTCTCCACGCTGTTCGCTTTTTATGCCAAGACGCAATACGTGATCTGTTTTTTCTTCTTTTTCTTTTTTTTTTCTCCGTTTTCTTTTGATGTCGTTGTCGTCGTCGTATTTTTGCGCGACACATCCCTCGGGTATGTAAAAACGGCGGCCATTCGCCTGCGTTTACACTGCCCTGAATGAAGCCTAGTTTCTGTGCTTGGAGGGAGGTGAATGCTTGAGTTTGCGTTTCTCACTCTCTCTTTTTCTTTTTCTTTTCTTTTCCTTTTCTTTTCTTTTCTTTTCTTTTCCTTTTCTTTTCTTTTCCTTTTCTTTTCTTTTCCTTTTCTTTTCTTTTCCTTTTCTTTTCTTTTCCTTTTCTTTTCTTTTCCTTTTCTTTTCTTTTCCTTTTCTTTTCTTTTCCTTTTCTTTTCTTTTCTTTTCTTTTCTTTTCTTTTCTTTTCTTTTCTTTTCTTTTCTTTTCTTTTCTTTTCTTTTCCTTTTCTTTTCTTTTCCTTTTCTTTTCTTTTCCTTTTCTTTTCTTTTTCTTTTTTTTTTTCTCCCTCCCCTTCTCCCTCCCCCTCTCCCTCCCCCTCTCCCTCCCCTTCTCCCCCTCCCCTTCTCCCTCCCCTTCTCCCTCCCCTTCTCCCCCGCCCCTTTTCCCCCTCCTCCTTGTCGAATAATACCAAGCCAGCGTGATGGAGCCACATTCCGAAATGTCTCCACGCTGTTCGCTTTTTATGCCGAGACGCAATACGTGATCTGTTTTTTTCTTCTTTTTCTTTTTTTTTTTCCTCCGTTTTCTTTTGATGTCGTTGTCGTCGTCGTATTTTTGCGCGACACATCCCTCGGGTATGTAAAAACGGCGGCCATTCGCCTGCGTTTAGCACTGCCCTGAATGAAGCCTAGTTTCTGTGCTTGGAGGGAGGTGAATGCTTGAGTTTGCGTTTCTCACTCTCTCTTTTTCTTTCTTTCTTTTTCTTTTCTTTTCTTTTCTTTTCTTTTCTTTTCTTTTCTTTTCTTTTCTTTTCTTTTCTTTTCTTTTCTTTTCTTTTCTTTTCTTTTCTTTTCTTTTCTTTTCTTTTCTTTTCTTTTCTTTTCTTTTCTTTTCTTTTCTTATGTCTTTCTGTTTTTCTCTCTTTTTTATGGTCGGATTTGTTCTTGTGGGTATTTGTTGGTCTTTATTTAGGATGAGTGAGGGAGAGTTAGAGAGAGACAAACACACAGACAGACAGACACAGACACAGACACAGACACAGACAGAAGGCTTCTCTCCTTCCGGGCCTTCCAATTCCTCATGGGCGAAATGAGATGACCTTACCAGCGAACGGCCTTCCTCGGTCAAACTTTCTGGCGGTCTGGAACAACAACAACAACAACAACAACAACATTAACAACAACAACACCCAACGGAGCCTCGGGTTAGACAAGGAGAAGGCATCATTAACCAGAACCAAAATAATGATGCCACGTCATTATGGGGATTATACATAGCATAATATATCAGGCCCGCGGAAGGTTGGCTCTCGGTGGATCTGTGTTAAAATATGTTTATTATTTATTTATTTATTTATTTATTTAATTTTTCAAAGGTTACGACTTCGAAAATGTGCCAAAAAATGGAGGGAAGAGAGAGAGGGAATAAAGAGCGAGAGAGAGAGAGAGAGAGAGAGAGAGAGAGAGAGAGAGAGAGAGAGAGAGAGAGAGAGAGAGAGAGAGAGAACGAACGAACGAACTAGAGAGAGAGAGAGAGAGAGCGTGAGAGAGAAACGGAAAGAGAAAGAGAAACAGAGAGAGAACGAACGAACATTAATGGGAAGGCAGGTCGAAAAGGGGTCCTTTTGGAAAGCTGTGGGAAGAGTGGAAAGTCGAGGAAACAAGAGATAGAAAGGGTGGAAGGAAAAGCACGGAGGAACGGAAGGAGGTGGGAGAAGAGAGAAGGATCGGAATATCTGATCGCTTTACCAGTTCATAGGTTGGCTTTTGTTGAGAGGAATCG